ATGTGTTAATCACTCTTTGGGTGAAGAAGTAACCCGACTGCTTAGCAATTTCATGAGTGCCCACGAGTTCTTGTATTGTGAGAAAGGGAGAAAAGTACTTCTTTCTCTACCTGCTCTATCCTATGCATAATCTTATAAACATGTTACTTGTTAAAAATAATTTTGGTGAATCCTTGGCATCATTCTCTTTAAAAAGCTGCTTCTTATTTGCTGCTGGTGGCTTAAAAAAATTAAATGTGAGTTGTCCTCTGTTTTTCCCACAAGAGATTCTCAAGGCATTTTCTCCACGGAAAGCTCTCCAGTTTGTCAAAGAATGAACATTTAATCATTAAACCTTGACTAAGAAATCCAGCTACGGCTGGCACTGGCTTATGCACAATTCAGTGAACTTGTGATTCAGAATAATGTGCCCTGCCAGATTTGAAAGCTGGCTAGTTTCTAATAGTGCTGCATCATGTCTCCTTCCAGCCATGTGAATTCTTATCTTGGAGTAAAGCATGTCATAGAGTTAACAGTTCAGTGGGTTTGAAAAATGAGAAATTAATGAAGTGGATTGTGGAAAGTATGTGTTTCTGCTTGCTGCCTGTTCTAATTCTATGCAGACACAGCGGTTGTATCAAGGAAAACGCAGCTGTTGGGAGACGCAAGTCCATAAACAGAGCTGCCACTTCTCACTGGGCTCATTTAGTGAAAGGGGTGTGTGGGTCAGAGGGCTCACAAGTGATTTTGTTCAGGAATTAAGCAGGAGAAAGTGTTTTGAGAAGGAAATGCCAGGTGACTGTATTGCATAGCTCAGTGCCGATGCTATTAATAGAAGGCCCAAGCGGTGCCTCTGAATTGCATGCTTTAAAATATAGGTCAGATTCCTGTCCTCTCACTTGTGTATTTGGCTGCAGTCTTCAAAACTGTTTCTAAACAACAAGGTGAAATAAGTCTTCCTGAGGGCCTTTGTTTGCCAGCATTATATTCCAAAACCTGTAATGTGTAGAGATCAATTTCTGCCAATTTGGTTCACTAAAGTTGATATTTTATGGTCTATAAATATCCCCTGTCTTTACGCTAAATATGCGTGTAAAATGCCACTCATTAGCCTGCTGATTTTTCTTATGTCTCAGTACAGTTGGCAGATTTAATACTGAACAGGGTTCCTGTGTCTTTTAGTAGCTGCGTATTTTTTTTCTTTTTAAATTCTAAGAGTTCATTAAGAGCTTTTTAGTGTCACATCATGATTATACAATGAGACTTTGCATTCTGATTGGTTCCAATATTCCTTGACATTGAAATTATGTACTCCTTAGGGCTTTTTGAGCTCCCCCACCTTTCAGTGAGGAGTCAAGATGGAATCCCTCTCAATACTTTTAAGGATTTTGCTCTTAACAAGTCTTCAATGAACACAGTTCACATTACAGTTGGGTCATAGGGCAGGATTTGTGGTAGGCACACTGAGTCTTGCAACAAGTCCTGCTTTGTTGAAAAACACTCAGCAGTGGTATTTCTGTCATGGTTCAGGGATTAACAGGGCCTTTATTTGGCAGATACTTCAACTAGTATCTGAGCTTTCATACTTTCAGCTCTCTTTGTTTTCATCCTGTGTTAAATAGTGCTATTTATTAAAGAGCAGGCCACGCGTATCTAGTTGGTTGATGTCTCATAAACAATATGGGGGGCTTTTAAATTAAAAACTGATAACTGAGCTGGAACTTCAATACATTTATAAAATAAGATTTTTGGATTTCTGTGCCTGTATATTTTTGCACAAATATTGGTAAATACTTGAGAGTATGTTTGGAAGTGTGTGTGTGTACGTGCATTGCTCCCACAACTAGTAGGATGGAGTCATTTGCAACAAGGCTACTTTCAAGCTTCATTCAGTTCACTTGGCATATGTAATTTTGTTTCAGCTTGGATGCTTATAGTGAGTTTCTTCAAGCAAGTATGTTATTGCTTGGCTTGAAATACATGGGATTGCAAGTTCTGTGGAACAAAATGGGCAGCATTTGTGATTAAATTAGTTTTTCATAAGCATGTGATGGTATTTTGTAAAACATCTATCCACATGGGATTTTTTGTTACAGGCCATAACAGCTGGATTGTGGTGAAATAAGCATGTACTCTAATTATTATACATTTGCTGTTTTCTCTCAAGGACATAAAACCTAGAGTGGTAGAACATTAACAATGTTGGTGTTCAAAGCACCGATTTATGTGATTCTTAAGGCCAAAATGAAGCAACGTTGAAAGCATCTACCTCTGAAGATACTGGCATGCTGCCAAAGAAAACTGGGTGGGGGTGGGGCAGAGATGAGAGTTGTACTTGGCTAGACACATAAGGAGCAAGCTGAGCTTCAGCGGCACTGCCAGCGCCTCAGGGGTTTGCCTTGGACCCAGCTGGCATCTGTGCAGGTCTGGGAGGCAATGGCAGGCAGAAATACCAGTGCCATCAAGAGGTCCACCAGTGGGGCCAGGACATTAGAAGCCCCCCCACTGTTGACCCCCCCAAGCACCAAGATGACAGAGCATCACTTGCCCCAGAGTCCCTATCTATACCTTGTGGCTAATAGCCACTGATGGACCTCTGCTCCATATGCTTATCTAATTCCCTTTTGAAGCTGTCCATGCTTGTAGCCGCCACCACTTCCTGTGGCAGTGAATTCCAAGTGTTAATCACTCTTTGGGTGAAGAAGTACTTCCTTCTGTGGCTTTTACTTCTGAAAGGAGTCTAGAAATCTGCAGGAGAAATTTGGTATTTATATCTGTTAATGTGAAGAATGGCAAGCTGGAGTGAAACAGTGAAGAATGAGAATGAAAGAGGGGATAAGGATCAGCAGAGAAGTGAAAAGAGCATGTTGTCCTAACAAGCCTTATTTCCTAGTTATCAGTTCTAAAGTAACTAGAATTCTGTTACTGTAGAACGTAACTCAGTAGAATTCACATGTTAAGATTTGGCCCCCTACCTTGACTCAGCCAGTCTAACCACATGGATCCACGCCACACTGCACATGGGTCAGTCCTTGAAGACAACCCAGGGACTCCAGCTCAGCTATTATCAGAAGCTAGGTGGAGTATGCACATTACACCCCCTCCGCAGTCACTGCTCATCAGCTACCGGGTTCAAATCAAGGTATTGCCTATCACATACAAAGTCTTGCATGGCCTTAGACTTTCATATCTACAGAACTGTCTCTCCTCCTATGTTCCGCCATGACAGCTCTGCTCATCTGTTCAGGGGCTCTGGAGGTGCCACCATGCAAATGCAACAACTGCATGTTCACATGCTTTCTCTGTTATGGCCACCTCCTTGTGGAATGGCTTCCCAGAATTGCTCCACTCTCCTGTCATTCCAAAAATTATGCAAGTCGTTCAGGAGAGCTTTTCTATAAAGGTAATAGGGTTATACTAAAAGAGAACAGTTCAGGAGGGCATGCTACAAAGGGAAAAGACTGTGGATTATACCACTTATTATGTACAGGACATATTATGATCAGCTTGCTGCATGTGTTACCCTTTTGTCATTTCATTGTTTTCTACTGATATAATACTATTTTTCTTCATTATATCCACACTCTGCATCATGCCTAATATTCTAAACTCATTCAGATTTTGGTAATCTTAGTCCTAGTACATTGCTTATTTGTTGGTTCCTCCTATTGATTGTATTGACATACAGCATGTTTATTAGATAGCTCTTTGTATGGACTGTTATCAGTTATGTGTACCCTGTATTATGCTTTTAGTCTCATTAAGATAGGCAGACTATAACTGCAATAAATAAATAAATTTTGCTGAATATTTATGGTGGAGAGATTTGAACTGGTAAAAAGGAAAATTTGCATCCATTAATAGTGATAACTGATGTAGCAGACTAGCTACATTAATAAAACATGGCTATTGAAGACTAAAGGTGGCATAATGCTGTGACAACTGCTCCTGATTCATTGCTTAGGTGTTCTTCATGTTGGCAATCACACTGAATGTATAATCACAACAACTAATTGTTTTCAGATGTGAGAATCGGCATTTGTGATGGACTGTACTTTTAAAAGCTTAGAAGTGCTATACAAAGGTAAAGGGCTGTGAAGGGTTAATTCTTCACAGAACCAGAGAGCCTTGAGTGACGGGCTGCTCCAAGGAATCTGATTGGTTAGCATTAGCTAAGCAGAGAAAGGCTTGAGAGCTGAATGCTGAGAAGAAGTTCAGTCTGATTTCAGCTAAGAAAGAGTCAAGTACTGACAGTGTCTGAATTTGGCCCTGACTGAGAGCAGGTTAACACAGATGGAGTACTGGAGAAGTTGGCAAGAAAGAGTGGGTAGTTAAACAAAGACTCCCATTCGGGCCAAGGAAAGGGGATAGATCTTCTAATGAAAGAAGAATTTCCCTACCCAGTCAAAACATGGAGATAGCTCTGAAGAGTGGAGAGATCACTGGTCTGGTGTGGCTAGAGACTGCCTTGTGAAATCTTAAGAGTCAGTTAAAACTCAAGAAGAGCACTGATGTGTTTAGAGAAGGGGTTTGGGAACTGGATAGAGTGTCCCAGCCTTCCAGAAACCAAAAGAGTAAATGTATACTCAAAGAAAGTGTACTGGAGTGTTTGGGAAACACTGAAATAAAAGCCCCTCATCATAAAGATTTTTAGTCACTGTGAATAGCTTAAGAAACTCTCATTAACCTGAAGGAGATGAACTGTAGTCTGCATCTACTGATTTTACCTCAGAGTTATTTATTTGAGTTACCTCAGAAATTTTACTCCTGATTCCACCTGATCTTTCCTTCTCTATGTTGAATAAAATATTTTGTTACTTTTGAACTTCCAAAAGCCTTGAGTGCCATTTCAGTGGTTGAAATTAAAGGGTGATTTGACATATGTTAAATCAGTTGCTTCTGTGCTTGTATGGTAAGCAGTTTGAGGACTTTCTGCTTTGATCATATGTTCCCAGCATACACATTGAGTCGTCTGCTAACTTTGCAGTTCATACATTGTACTTCTTCTGCATCTCATTAAGGTGTCCTCAAGGATTATTTAAGAGAACTGCCTTCCCCCTTGATAACCAAACAACTCTATGAAGCAGTATTGGATGCCATGGTGAAAAACCCATTGAAAATGACAACAAATGGATGTGATAATGACCCTAGTGATTCTGAGCACACAGTGTCCCTCTTGGATTGCCTGCCGGACATTGAGAAGGTAAACCCTGAAGGCCTCTATGGATAGTTACACATGTCTAATAGGTCTTGGGCTTGTTTGTTTAAGTTTGTATTAAATTGTGCATAAACCGTACCCCAGGATGATTGCAAAAGTTGTTGCAGGGTGGGGCCATAAGTGGTCCAGTGACTTATTCTCAACCATTTTCATCTCTGTACTGTTGAGTTTCTCTAATGTTAGATGGTATCTGCTGGCATCCTTCTCCTACACATTTATTTTTTTTATCTCATATGAAGCAGCAATGCACTAGTTTGTGAGTCTTTTTTTTTTGTAAGAGCATAATAGTTGCCATGCCAGAGGTCTGTACTCTAGCAATACTTAGTCAAATGTCTCAGTAAAGCTCTCTAGCAGGGTGTGATGGTGTCAGCTCCTGTTAGTCTCAAGCATCTGGTAAACACAAGAGTGTGCATTTAAATACCGGAATTCCATCACCACAGCCTGTGGCAAAGAAAACAGCCCTGTCGCTGCTAAAGAGCAAGAGTGATGGGCTGAGTCTTCAGTTCAGATATCACTTCAGCTACAAATTGTGTTGCCTTGAGCAAGCCGAACATTGAGAAGGTAAACCCTGTAGGCCTTTATGGATACCCTGATTGGTAGCACAGGCATGGTAATACTTGGCTAGTTTCCAGACAGTTGTAATGATTGCAGAGCAGCTGTGTTCCAAGCATTTTAAGTAGTGTTATTAGTTATGTGCTTGTTGAATGAAGACCTGTGATTTCTGTTGTCATTCAATTTTCTTGGATGACCTCAAATTCTGGTGTGCAGGTATAGAGGTTATAGTTTAATTGTCTTTAACCTTTATATAATTTCTCATAGTTCCATAAACTGTAGGAAATCCCTCAAACTTAATATCTAAATAATATAAATGAAGGGTAATAGAGAGTGCAGATTTCTGAATAAAGCTGTACCTATACAGTCAGTGTGGCAGTAAGTAGCAATGGATATTTGCAGTAATCAAGAACAGCTACTAAGCAATCACTTCTCTCTTGGAGTTCCCCAGTTGTTATCCAACTAGTGATCTGCTTTAAAAAGGAATGATTGTTCTCATTGCCAAAGAGATAAGTGGATTTTAATCGGAACCATGACTTGCCTCTTTTTCATTAGAAACCAGAAAGCAAAATTCCAGCCATGTGTGCATGTGTTTTATTTATTTATGTATTTATTTATTTATTGTTTATATTTATATTCCGCCTTTCCAGATATCTGGCTCAAGGCGGCTAACAACATTAAAATGGCATAAACAACCAAGTTAAAACAATTAATAAATACCATACCAGTTAAAACAGCACCAGTTGCAGTTAACCCAACAGAAATGGCGGTAATCCAAATCCCATCCAACGATAGGGGTAGCGTCCAGCGGAATCTCAGGCCCGAGGGTGTTCTAAAATTTCAGACCAGACGATGTTCCAGGGCACACTCACTCCATTTTACAGGCCCTGCCGAACTGTAAATGTACGTTCAGATTTGAACCTTTGTCAGGCAGATAGGTTTTGGCTAGGGTTGCCAAGTCATTTTCGCCCCGCGGTGGGGGGCTCCCGGATGGTGTCTCTTGCGTGCTCGTGCGCACGCAAGAGTTTCCCCTCAGATGGCTGTGGCCCCGCCCCCAGTGTGCCCGGCATCATCACGTCACCTCCGGGTGATGTGCACGCCGGGGTGGGGTTTCCCCAGGGGCCTGATTTCGCGGCGGCGGAAATCGGGCCTCCAAAGCGGGGGGAAATCCGCCCCCCGGGGGGACTTGGCAGCCCTAGTTTTGGCCAGTACAGTGATCATTTTTGAATAGTAAGCAATTAGTGCTCAGATGTTGGTCATACTTTGTGAAATTTATGGGATTGTGCAATAGCTGTAAAATGTCAGTGGCTGAAAACAAAGGAGAGGCTTGCACAGTGAATATTTAATAATCAATCAACAATTGTGTTCATTTTGACTGTCTTAGTATAAATAATTGTATTGATTTGGATAAGCCAGCATATGGTGATCTCCCCCCTCCCAACGCAACTATAACTTTTGAGCTTCTGTAACTAAAAACCACTGCTTCACTTAACGTCACATATAGTTGGCACATACTGGATTGCAATATGGAGTTCTATTCTTCAGTCAAAGAGTGCTCCAATGCAATGAAATAGCTTTTCTGCTTTATAGGCAAGCAACTGTACAGAGGTATTTTTATTTCCAGATGTAATGACTTAACACTGTAGTCTTACAAAAAAGTCTGTTTATTTTTCTTCCGTGTCTTACCCTTTCCATACCCCTCTGCTTTCATTTCAATCTTAAGCATGCATCCTTAGAAGCGAATTTAACTGAAATCAACAGGAGTGACTTCTGAGTAAACATGTGAATAAAATATTGCCTTTGAGTTGAACATACATTATAGAACCAGATTAATTTGTTTTAACCAATACCAAATTTATTTCCCATTGCTTTACAGTTGAGGTATAATTTGAACTTAAATTTATTTATTTTAGTATTATTTACTTTGCACTGAAGAACTACTGAGATGGGTGTATTCAAGAAAAAAGTATAGAATTATGTTTGACTATCAAGGAAGTCAAGGAAGCCATAAAAAGCAAAAAAGGCTTATTTTCAAAAGTGGAAGATTGCCCTGGTCAAGGTGAACAGAAAGACCTCAAGGTCTGGCAAAAAAGAAAAGAAAAGCAAGTTGACAATAAGGCAAGCAAAAAGGTGATTTGAAGAGTGGATGGTGAAAAACATTAAGGCAAAAAAAATGAGTTTCTTCTTCATCAGGAGCAGGAAATTGGCCAGGGAGGTGGTTGGGCCTTTGGAATACAAGAGTATGAAAGGATTGCTTAAGGAAGATGGGAAGATGGCAGATAAATTAAATGATTTTTTTGCATTCGTTTTCATTGTGGAAAAGGTGGGGCACATACCCATGCTGGAGCTGCTGTTTTTAGGAAGGGTGTCTAAAGAACTGAGTCAAATTGGGATAACTAGAGAGGATGTTCTAGCATTACTTTGCAAACTGAAAGTCATAAAGCCTGTAGGTTCCAGATGACATATACCCAAGGGTTCTTAAAGAACTTGTGGTGTATTCGAAAAGGCTTACATGAATCGCCGCATTAACTCCATGATAAGCACGAGCCAGAGGAAGGCTCCTCCGAGCCAACTTGCTATTGGTCGCTCCACAACAGCGACCAATCAGAACCGTACAATTCCCTGCGAGGGAAGAACTTTCATTGGACGTTATCTGCACAACCTCATTGGTTGTTTATTGTAAATAGGTGTGGCTACTTTAGCCCAGGAATGTTTAAAAGGAGCCTAGCTCCCAATGTTAAGCTGTTCTGGTTATGACTTCTTTCAAGCGCTTTGTCGTACCTACAATAAAGCTGATCACTATTGTTGAAATCACTCTCCGGCTCTTTGTTAGCGGCGATCTAACAGAACTCATTTATGAAATTGTTGATCCTACTGGCAAGTATTTAACTTGTTGCTAAATTAGGCCTCTGTGCCAGATGACTGGAACTCTTCAGTCTAGAAAAAAGATGGCTAAGGGTAGACATGATAGGAATTTATAAAATTATGCATGGTGTGCAGAAAGGGCCTAGGAGGATCTGCCCCCTCCGAACTAAAACTTGGAGGAATAGGTTCAGAACAGACAAAAGCAAATACTTCTTTACTCCACAGGTAATTGAACTGTGGAATTCACTGCCAAAGTTGGTAGTGATGGCCATAAGTATAGATAGCTTTAAAAGTGGGTTAGACAGTTTAATAGGGAAGAGGGTCTGTCAGTGGCTACTAGCCATGGTGACTGAAGAGAAGTTCCATATCCAGTGCTGATAGTAGTAGCAGGGAAGGGCATTGGCCTCTATCCCCTGTTGCTAGGGTTGCCAGCCTCCAGCTGGGACCTGGGGATCCCCAGGGATTACACCTTACGTCAGAGATCAGTTCCCCTGGAGAAAATGGAAGCTTTGGAGAGTGGACTCTATGGCATTGTACTCCACTGTGGCCACTGTCCTCCCCAGGCTCCATTCCCTAATCTCCTGGAATTTCCCAACCTGGATCTGGCAACCCTGCCCCCATCCCCTGCTGGTGGCCAGAGGGGACCTGACAATCCTACCTGTTGCTGATCGTCCAGAGTAACTGGTTGGCCATGGTGTGAAACAGGATGCTGAACTAGATGGACCACTGGTCTGATCCAGCAGGCTCTTATGTTCTTATGCTGTGATTTTTGTAAGGCACTACATGAAAATGATGAACTCTGCTGCCTGGTGAGAGTGGGACTGCAAGTTTGTTTCTGAAACATTTGCACATATTTGCAGCAGGCCCAGAGCCAGGATTTTTTAAGTCGGCGGGCATTTAAATGTCTTAGGGGGCACTAGCTAATCAAAGGTAATTTAATTAAAGAAAACAGGGGGCAGGAGTCCTGTGCTGCGCTGATCTCCTCTCTGCTGCCGGCAAGTCGGAGTCTTCCTTCCGTTGCAAACATCTAGCCTGCCTCCTCCCCCAGAGTCCCTCAGCTGGAGCTGCCTCTCCTGGGAAGAGAAGGCCGTGACGCTCTGGGCTGGATGGGAAGTCATGGGGCCTTGCCAGTAAGTTGGGGGGCCTAGCCCCAAGATGCCCCACTGTAGCTATGGGCCTGGTTTGCAGTTATTAACACAACTGAAATTACTTACAGAATGAGTGTCATAGAAGCTTTGGCCGGAATCGGAAAGTTACGTACATGTGGAAACTCTAATTTATGTGTTTCTCTAATTTTTGCTTCAGCAATTTCTGTTGCTGAAGAGACAAACCTCTATGGCAAAGTGTGAGCAGCAGGTCTACCTGTTACCGTAGTACCAGTTGAGAGTGTGATGCTGTCTGGCAGTGAGATTACGTTGTACAGGGTGGGCTCCATTGTTGGCTGTGGCAGGGCTAGACATGGGGGTCATGCAAAATACTTTGTATATTTGAAACCATGTAATAAACTCTCTCAGGTTCCCATCTGCCCCACAGGTCTCTCTGTTGCAAATCACAAGTAGGGCAGGAGAAGCATCTGGACATTGGACTCTATGTTTCTCACAGGCTGTTCCTTCATCCTGTGACACTCATCTCACTGGCAGTGCTGGTCTTTCAGGCTTTCCCCGGCATCTTCCAGACTCCACTTGAGATCTGATGCCCTGCCCTGCCCTGCCTACAGTCAGCCCAGTGACCTAGGTCCAGTGTCTCCTCCCACCACAGGCTCCTTCTATTCCAAGTGTTCCACACCAGCTCCTTTAAGAAGTAAGCCCTGCCTCCCTGGTCCACCCTTTCTACTTCACTCTTTGGACATCTTGCCCTGCCAGTGGCTAACCCTCTAAAGGAATAGTTTACTGGCTTGTGGCCTCCTCCTAGAACCTGCCCTCAATCTGTAAAGCCTAGCTCCTTCTGCCCATACTGTTCCATAGTGGGCAAGTGCACACACTTACTCTTGAAGGCCAGTATAGGATCTCCCCTTCCCTATAAAATATCCCGTGTGTCACAGCAAGGCTAAAGTGAATGTTGGCACAGTGGCAATAGTTCTGGAATTTGGGACTCTATCCTATGACCTGCTAAGCCAGTAAAAGCAGCCTTTGGGATTGATCTGTTGATTTAAAACCTGGCTTCCCCCCGGAGGCTCAAAGTATTTTATAATACTTCAGAAGGCAACTAAATAGTAAATGTAAAATATATTAAAGTTACTATAAGCTCACAGCTAAAACCATCCCTTGCCCACCTCTACTACTGAATATTTACCCAATTTATACTAATGCCTTTTGGCAGACCTCCCTAGGAGATGAGTTACAAGAACAGAGAGCAGCTGCAAAAACACCAGATCTCTGTATTGTTATGCTTTACATACAAAGGATTCTTTCAGGAGGTTGTCTTCTGTTGACTATTGGCATTATGCATATATGTCAATATTGTAGCCACATTAAAAGAATTAGTACTCCAAGATGATGATACTTGTCTTTACCTGCTTGTAGCTAACCAAAGTTGATTCTTTTTTATTTTTAGGCCACTTTAAGGATGCTGTTGGACCATCTGAAATTGGTGGCTTCATACCATGAAGTAAACAGAATGACATGCCAGAACCTAGCTGTTTGTTTTGGGCCTGTATTGTTGAGCCAGCGGCAGGAAACCGCCAACCATAACAACAGAGTATTCACTGATTCTGAAGAGCTTGCTAGTGCCTTGGATTTCAAAAAACATATAGAAGTTCTACACTACCTACTTCAGCTGTGGCCAGGTAAAACGCCTTGGAGGAGGTGGGGAAAATCTGACTTTATTTTGCAGTTTACTGTAAGCTGCTGTAGCGAAATGTACCTAGAAAATTTGATAAGTTAATAACTTATTGAATACACGCTACAGTAGCAGATTAATAGGGGAGATCTGTCATCTCAGATGTTTTCTCCTGGCCGCTTCTTGGGAAGTTAGCACAAATGTAGTTTTGGAGTTGCCCCTGCAGAGCTAAGGTTTCAGAACAGTTATCACTAAAAACAATAGTCAGAAGTAATAGATGAGGCTTTGTTGTCTTTTCTCTAAAAACCAAAAGGGAGAGAAAAAACTTACTCCTGAGAACTTGAATTAAGAACCAAAAGCTTAAAGAAATGAAAATTAAGAGGCCAAATAACTGGATATCTCTACAAAGAACATAAATATAAATATACCAAAAAATACACGTATTTATTACAATCAGGTTCAATCAATCAGAGGTCATTTCCTGCAGGAGCGCACAGGAGTGGAGCTCTGGCAGTAAAGAGCCCAGGGGGCGGGTACATGCAACAAGCCCCACCCCCTGCTCCCAGCAGCCCTCAGTCAGAGCAAGAAGCAGCCAGGTAAGTTGCAGAGCCACCCCGGCCCCCTGGTCCAAAACAGTCCATTGACACCTTTAAGACCAAGTTTTATTCAGGTACAAGCTCTCCCTCCTCTGTGGGGACGGATCTGCACGCCCCCCCGATAGCAATCCAAAAGCAGTCCAGTGGAGCCTGAGCGGTGGGTGTTGACTTGTGACACACTTCCGGTGATGTCAGGGGGTGTGGCATATGCAAGTAAGTTATGGTAATGAGTTATGCTAATGAGCTCCTGCACCTCTTTTTCTACGAAATGACCCCTTCAATCAATCAATCAATTTATTTCTACAGTCCTTAGACCAGTCATACAACAATCAGGATAAAAACAGTTATAGGCCCAAATAATAGCCTCAAATCAGTATAAAATCATGTATAAATCTCAAACAGAGCATGTGTTCCCCATTTCCATAATGCATAGGGCTGGTGACTCATTTGAGCTGACACATAAGCATTAATTAATACAAGCATTTATTTGGTGCTTTTGAAACATTTTAAATGGCACTACCTGAAGAGAAGCTGATGGATCATTAGAGCAAGTACTAAACATCCTTTTGCAAGCAACAGATATATAAAACAGATTTTTAAAATCTTATAGTTCAGATTCCTTAGTGTGGCAAGTTTGGGATTTGATAAGTCCTGGAAAATGTGTGACATCTGATCCAAACCATAACATGCCAAATACCAATACCTGCCATATACCCAAGCCTCCAAACAACCAGTCATATTACCAAGCATATACATTCTATGGTAGCTTTGCCACATGAGTTGCCAGGTCACATTGTCTGTTTGCATCTTCCTGAGGACAGATGGTGAGGTCCATTATGCTACCTGCCTGCTGCTTTCTAAACATTGGCATGGACTATAGAATTAATGGAATCTTCATAGAGGGTTAACTGTTCAAGTTTTGTTGTGTCCTGGAACTAGGCTTACCAAACGCCGGCGGGGGAAATCTATTTCCTGGCAGGATGCGTGCCGCGGGGGACGGCTGTGCGCGCTGCACCCGCCGTCGCCAGGATGTGACGCTCCGCGTTACTCTGGCAACGGGGCTGTTTGGGTCCCGTTGCCAGGGTAACGCGGAGCGTCACATCCTGGCGACGGCGGGGGCAGCGCGCACAGCCGTCCCCCGCGGCACGCATCCTGCCAGGAAATAGATTTCCCCCGCCGGCGTTTGGTAAGCCTACCTGGAACCACCTTTTGAAATGTTCCTCCTCTACCACCCATTCTGGCCTTAGGCATCAGCATTAATATTAGAATTGGGGAGTGCAGAACAGAATTATGAGTGGAAAAAGTTCAGTATGTTAGATCTGTCCCTGGAAATACATCATGTACAGGAAGCCAGCCTAGTCTTTGAAATTGGTATTGCATGAATAATGGTACACTGGTGCTAGATATTACAGTGCCTGATTGGCAGTCAACCATCTGTGATGACAGCACCTCTATTAATAATTCATGTGTATGATTCTTAGTCCACATTGTGGCTGTAGCCAGGGATTAACCTAAGTTCATCTTCATCAAAGTGGTGGACCAAGGAAAGTGGTGGTGTATCTTTGCCAGCAAGAGAAAAACTTTAGAAGTTCAAATATCTAGAAGTCCACATTTAACTGCATGTCGTTAATATTGTACCATAACCAGGGCTATTTTTGGGCAGGAACGCACAGGAACGGAGTTCCGGCTGGCTTCCAAGTTGGCCACACCCAGCAGGAACTCATTAGCATAATAGGCCACACCCAACAGCAGAAAATCATTAGGATTGGCTACATTAGGGCTGTGTGGCCTAACATGCAAAGGAGTTCCTGCTACAAAAAAGCCCTTGGTAAACAGAATAAGAAGCAAAAGGTGGGTGTGGCTGGATGAGCACACTTCTGGAAACATGGGGGTGCGGCCTAATATGCCAATGAGTTGTGCTGTCAGGGGTGTGGCCTAATATGCTAATGAGTTTCTGCTGTTGGGTGTGGCCTATTATGCTAATGAGTTCCTGCTGGGCTTTTTCTACAAAAAAAGCCCTGATCCATAACTGTGTTCCTTGTAACCATAGTATATCAAATTCAGAAAGTATCTCTCAATAGTTTCTTGGTCCTTTCACCTCACTTCATCCTTGCAACTGAGAGCATCTGGCAATCCTTTCTTTCGTCGTCTTGTTGCTTCATGAGCTGTTGTAGTTACTGCTGCTTATATCCTGGTATTGCAGGTCAGGCTGAAAGAATGTGCTTTCTGAGAAATGTTCTTATGAGGCTGATAAAGAATGATCATCCCAGGGGAACTTGAGGCTGAGCAGGAATTTGAAGCCAGTCTCCCAGATTCTTGAATAATGCTGGCTTTTATGTGTTGGACATGCTCTTTTGCCATATGGCCATACATTCCACATCTGCTGTTCTCACAGTGAAAGCTACAATTGCTCAGTATTTGGACAAATTACAAATAATAAATTGTGTAGAGAAAATTCTTCATGAAGTATATATGATTGTGCAAAGAAGCAAACTATGGACTAAATAAGAGAGAATTTAAACGCTGCTGTAGATGCTTCTGACAATATCATGCAGTGTCCCTTGGCTCTTCAAGAATTTAATTAAACATTGTGGAGTGAGGTGTGTTTCTCGAAAGCAGCTGAAATCAGAGCATGGACCCTTGAACATTAATCCTCCTACAGATTTGGAAAACTTGATAACCATGTTTATGCCACAGTTCACCTCATTTTTTAAAAAAATAAATGGAAAACACGTGGATCCTTGTTCAGTTGGAAAGTGTAACAAAGCTGGCAGTTAAGGTTTAACACATGACCTCTTCGCCTTAAGAGACCACAGTCCAAACAAAAGAGCTTTTGTTGATGTGCAGGCTTTTTTTTCCTTTAAAAAAGCAGGGCCGTTAAGGATTAATAAGACACACATCCCTCCAATAAGACTCATTGCTGTAGAGAGGCAAAGCATACATTGGGGCTACAATGAGGAGTTCATTTCCATCATGTAGGAACATTTTAGCCATGGCAAATGTCTGTCTGCATTGCCTCCTGGCTTGTGACAATCAAGATATGCATATTTGTTATGTGCTATTTTTGCCTTTTGGCATATGGCTGCAATTGTTGTTATCCAAGCATTTCTTTAACATTTTATTGTTCATGTTATATAGCTCTTGGGTACTTCCAGTAGAAAAGTGGCCAATAAATATACTTAATAACACTTTGAAGTAGTTTGTAGAAATAGAATCCTGTGCATGGTTGTGGATGCATGCATCTCTACAAGAAGGAATTCTACAGATACAGGTTTCACCCTTTTCTACCCTGTGTCCGATGGTAATGTGAAAATGCTTGAACTCTGTAGACGTGGATGTTTTATCCTCACAATTAGAGCCTAAGATAGATTTCTTCCTTCTCTTTATATGCATGTGCTATGTTCTTAAATAGTAACTTTCTCTACCATTTGTTCACAAGCTCCTTATAGTTTACAGGATGTTTTTACAAAGGAGGTTGAAGGGTGTGTGTGTGTGTTTTGAGCTGCTGCCTCCTGTAATGTGCTAGCAGAGTCTTCGCTGGCTAGAGTGTTCAAAGTTACATTACCTTCACATTCTTAGCATGTTCACAGCAAACCATGTATCACCCACATACCATTCAAGAGGTTCAAACGCATTGGTCTGTTTCTGTGAGTACCTTCAGTTTCTCAAAGTCCATCTGCAAAAATGATGTCTCTCTCTTATTGTCCCTATGCCACAGAAACTCATCTCCTGTCCTCCCTGCCATTATCCTGCTTGATCTGTATTATAATAACCTGTGACATTCCATGCGACCATTGTTAAATCCTTTCCTTTCTCCATCCCTTATCAAGCCTTCTCCCTTTCTTTTGCCTTACATCACTGTACAGAAATAGAGGTGTCCCCTTCATATAACCTGCAGCAGCCAGCACGTTGTTGAAACAAAATAAAAAATGTGTAGCAGTAGATGCACGAAAAATAACAATATACATTGGTGCAAAGCCAGTTTTCAGTCAAAACACACACGCACCATTGGTCAATAAAACATTTGTGCTATTTACCATAGGAAGCCGGTAACAAGAGGAGACTCTTAGTTTCTTGTGCTGTAGAATCATGAGTTCAGGTAATAAAAATTCCAGATGTGTGTGGAGTGTATTTCCCCCCCCCCTCCAAGTTGGACTTAATGGCTGCTTAGGAAAAAAAATTGAAAAGCTTTGGCCTGCATTGCACACATTTGGAACCAAAACAGACAGCTTTCTAGAATGGTTGGTTACATTTTAACATTTCCTGTGCTTGCTTTCTCTTCCCTAGCTGAATGCGTGGGAGGCCTGAAAGATGGAAGCTTTTCCGCTTTTATTTGAACAGTATTGTGACTGTGATTAACTTACAAAGTTAATTGAGGCATTTCAATTTTAATAGACTTCTGCTGTTGCGTGTAGACTTAAAGGCATGATAGTTTTGAAACTGGGGCCTTACTCTTGCCCATGTAAGATTACTGGACTACAGTAAAACCAAAATAGTGGAATGTATTGGCTGTCAAGTATGCATGCGTTTTTAATGCATGTTCCAAGCATATGAGTGGACAGATATAGTGGCCAGTGTTGCCGTGTTCATGTCTCTTCATACCTGATGGTCCGTCTAATATTTTTAAATTGTTCTTTGTCCTTTAGTGCAACGTTCAGCTGCCAAAGAATCTGCATTGCCTGAACAGCAATCCTCAGTGAACTATCTGAGACCTAAGAAGCAACGACCTCAGATGTTGAACTTGAACAGTACTGCAATATCAGGGATACTGAGGTCCAGGCCAGCCAGACTGGATAGTCCTTCAAGTAACCGCTATGCTGGAGACTGGAGTGGTTGTGGGGAGAACTACTTCATAAACCCCAAAGAGGCTCTGAGTGAAGCGGACTATGATGATGTCCCCTCAGAAGATGCAGAAAGTGGAGATGATGGCAGCAGAGCAGATGGCTCAGATAAGCTAATTGAGCAACCCAATTGCATGTCCAAAGAGCATACATTTCAGGCCTATTTGGCAATGCAAACAATGGATTCTTCAGTAAACCACAGAGTAAACCTCAAAGACCTGCAGGAAAGCATTGATACTTTGATAGGAAACCTGGAACGGGAACTCAATAAAAACAAGCTCAATATTCGTTACTAATAATAATCTTCTGCACGATGTCTCTGGTTAGTATATCCTTTCCCCAGTTTCTGTCCCAAGATTTTTTTTTGGGGGGGGGGGGAATGATCCAGACCTTGGTTGGAGTGCCTGTATTTTAATTGCATTGTGCAGTGGTTATGATCCTCCAGTAGGCTTAGTGCCTTTGATTACACAATGTTGCTTTTTGCTGTTTTCTTCCCATCCACCCCCTTCTTGTTTTGAAGAAGGGATTGCCCCCCCCCAAGAAGTGATATGTTAGTGAAAATGACTGTAGAATTTTCCCTTCCTCTTCTTTAAGGTACTATGCACTTATGAAGTTTAGACAGTTTATGCAAGATATGCAAGGCATCCCCTCTGTCTACTTTTCACAGGAAGAGCACTCCTTGTTCCTGAAAGTTTAGCCACGGTATGGATGTTCTCCTGGAAGGGAGGATTACTGTTGCTGCTTACGTGATAATTTGCAGCACAAATTGTAGGTAGGTCGTGTTCTACCGTATTTTGACACCTCTTCACTTGCAATGCAATAGCTGCTATGAAAAGAAAATGCTTTATATATATTATATATATATATATATGAAAAGTTTAATTGTACAAATATTAATGTATTCTTATATTAACACTTTCCAGTGATTATTTAAACCTGCAAAAATGAAATATTTTTCTAACTTTGTTTTGTATATATTTATATATCAAAAACATTGGGCTTTGATCAAGTCCCCCATCGGTGTAACACCTAAGCTTGGAAGAATCCTTGCAGGGCATAGCAAACTCAATTTTTTCTTCTCCATCCTCCTGGAGGATGCATGGATAGATTGTGTGGGTGTGGAGCCAGGCTGTTAGGTGAAATGTGAAGCCTGTTTGGCCTTCCCTTTCCATTAGGTCAGGGAACACCAGTCTTGCACAGGGACAGGGTTGTTTCTATTGTATGCTCCATAGGAATCTCTCTGCACATAGGTTCTACAACCTCTGGTAGGCATGGATTAAGCCCTTTGTTATATAAGTATTTTTGAAAAGTGTCATATTAGATTTGCATAAGAGTACCACTTCTAATGGAGGTGTACATTTTTGTGATGCCAAATTAAGGGGTGGATGTCTTTGAGTAGAGGGGAGTTGACGAACATCTGTTGAACCTGAAGGCTATAGCTCACTTTCTGATAATTTTTTTTTAAATGCGCAGAATCATAACTTGCCTGGTATGCTTATCAAGCTATTTTGCCATTTGTGCAATTTCTGCTAAGAGACCACAAACAGGAATTACTAGACAGATTTTGGAGATGAGGAAAATGATCACTGATCAGAAGTAGTAATTTTATACTGTTTATATTATTTAAAGTGCATGTTGCCCCCATATACACATACTTGTAAGCTATCCAGAGATCAGTCAGATTTTGTTAGGGGATCAAGCAGTAATTCTTACATGATCAAAGGCTCTGGATTTTGCTAATGCCGAATGTTCAGAATACAAAAATAAGATGGAAAAAACAGGCTATATTTGAGGATTGACTTGCCGTCTGTTTGAATTTTCAAGCCATATTCTCAATATGGTGGGCCTATAGATTCCTACGCTGAATGGTGTTTGATAGGACCACATGCTGATACACTCTGTATTTAAGGCCCTTATTGAGTGTCATCACTTGGATTTTACCTCTACACATATTTTCCTGTACAGAGATGTATATACCTCATGCTGGCTGGACTTAGTTGCTTATGACATCATAGCTTTCTTGTCTGAAGAGAAAAAAGTAGCCGCGATGTACTTACTGCTGAGCAGCAGGGAATGTTAAAGGAGACATCTGTGTGACCTGGTCAGACAGAAACACCATTATCTGTAAGAAAGTAGCAGATTACACCACTGTAGGAGCCGTGTTTGTATTCTGCAACTTACCTTCAGTGTGTTCTTACTCAGAAGTAAACATTGCTGAGTTCAGTGGAGCACCTTAGTAAGTGTCCATAGGACTGCAGTCTTAGTGTTATGGTTATTTAGAGCCTACCTTCATGAGTTCAAATCTGCTGGTAAAGGATAGACAAACTTTGAAGGCGGAGGTTGTCTGGAATGTTATGGCAGGCTCAGCCACCAGCCTGGTATATAGACAGTTACAAACAGTGGCATATGGAGATTATCCACGGGAATACCTTGTGTGCATATAGAATGATCAAGGTCCTCTGTGTGCACATCCCACTCAAACAGTCAATGTGCCATTAATGGATGTTCAATCAGATGTATGGCAGTCATAGCATACATTCTACATGGGGGGGGGGAGGTGTGCCTAGCGCTGTCATGCCCTGCTGTATGTACATTCTGCGCTCTGGCTGATATCTGAGCTGCCCCTTAGACTGCATAAATATGGCTAGAAGAGAGGCACATTGTGCCCTCGTAGTTCAGTCTCTCACTGGGGTCCACAGTATACAAACAGCATAGTGTTTTTCTATCTTGTACAAAGAAATACAGGCAGAAAGTGTGTGTATGAAAAAATATAGCTCTCATCTAAGTGGGATTTTATTGATTTTCTTAAGGTGTAGTCGGTTGGGTTTTTAAGTTTATGTGAGCAAGGAGAGTGCCTTTTAAAAAAAAGTATATCTAAAGACTTGAAAATATTTGAGGCTTTTGTTCAAATGTTTTCCTTTTTCTTTAAATGCCATGAAAATTAAAGTTATGAACACAATGAAATGTATGGCTTTTCTTGGCAGTTGTCTTAAATTAGTATTGGCCGCTTCTCAACTCTGCCCTTGAAAGGGTGAATGTGATAAACCCTTATTGGATTTACTCTCAAATGTTTGATACCTTAGTAGTTAACCAAAGCAAACACTCTTCTTATGCAAGTCTCAATGAAAACTGAACTCCTCACCTGTCTAGCAATAAGACCCAAGCAATACAAGCCATGCAATCAGATGCCTCATAAAAGATGTGGACTGAGTTTGTAATGTACACACGTCATACTTGTAAAGGATTTCTGTTTATAAAGCTAAGTGTAGAAGGGGCTAGTTATCTTTAAAGAATGTTTTGGATCTCATTCATCCTCCATAATATAGGACTGAATTTTCTCTTGTTTTAGTTCATTATCACCTTCTGTTCGTCCCCCCCATGGACTTGATGTAAGTGGTATTTAACTTGTCCCTGCCCTGCTTTATATTGTCTGATTATGTTTTTAGCTATTTATTTACTATAGGATGACAGAATTTTTGTGCGCGATTTTGCCACCTTTCTTCCCTCTAAAGAAATGTCTCAGCATTTTATCCAGCATCCTTTATTAATTTATTATTATTACTGTTTGTGGAAAATACACTGTACAATAATGGCAATATAATAACAATGGTACTGTTTGAAAACATCAATTTTAACCTGAAGCTTTTATGGATAGATCAGTGTTTTTTAAGTAAATGTACAGGAATTATGAATTATTTTTGAACCATGTTAATTCTGAATAAAACCTGAATTAAGTATAAAAATTGATTGTATTTTGTAAATGGTTGTCATTGTTTGAAAAAAATATTAAACACTTGCTTTTGGAAGTGGAATCTGCACTCATAGCTTATCAAAGTTCTTGTGGCTTGTATGTTTTTGTTTTCAAATCATTTGGAAAGCTTATTTTAATATTTGCAACATTGTTTGAGTACACTGAACAACAGGAAAGAAGGTACAGGTAAAAATGATATAATACCATGAGTGCAGGTACCTGCCCTGAGAGTCCTATGATCTAAAAATTTGACATAGAGCTGGTAACAAGGTGAAGGGAGAAAGGAGGATATGAGGATAAGAATATGCATACACGGCTGAAGTTTGGGAACTTAAGACATGATTCTCATCCAACCAGGGGAATGCAAGAGAGCAGTCTTCTTTCAGACCTAATGAGATATCTACTGCCATCACACTATTTTATTCTATCTGTGCTCCAACTGGCTTTCAATTATTGACAGAAATGTTATAGTAAAATACAAAGAATAATATTAATAACTCCTAGAAACCCAACTCAGGAACTATACAAATTTGTTAAGTTTTTTTTTAAAGCCAGCATACCACAAACAGCAGAATTTACAGAATATAGAAGGCTTATGGAAGCCATTGTTGTCAGAATCAGTTGGCAAATAGCTGCTGAAACAAACTGGGGAAGACATCCCATGCAGTGAGAGTACTACCACCAAGATAGCCATAGCTCCCAGAAGGATACAGCTTCCAACAGTTGTTGGGCAAAGTTGGTCTCTATGGGAGAGTCCTTCAACTATGGGGGTCCCAAATTTTATAAAGGACTTTAAATGTCAAACCACCAGCATCTCAAACTGAGCCCAGCACCAACTCAAATCCAAGCTGCTGCAATTGGCACGAAGTTCAAAAACTACCTTCAAGGGCAGGTTGGATATGCAGCAAATTACAGTAGTTTTCTCTGGAGGTGACAGAACTATGGATCAATATTAGGTAGTGGCTGGAGATCTGCTATTATAAGTGATCTCCAGGTGACAGAGATCAGTTCACTTGGATAAAATGGCCTCTTTGGAAGGTGGACTCTGTGGCATTATATCCCATTGAAGTCCCTCCCTTCCCCAAACCCTGCCCTCTTCAGGCTCCACCCCCAAAATCTCCAGGTATTTCCCAACCCAGAGCTGGCAACCCTAATCAGTATGGCTAGGTCAACACGTAGGGAGGAGAATTTGTAAATCAGGTTAACTGATAGTGCTAGCCTTTAGCATACAATATTGATAGCTTGGTCTTGTGGCTTTGAATGTGAGAGTTCCTGCTAGAGGAAAAAGTAAATTCCAACATAAAATAGGTATTTTAATTTTATAATTATTCCAGCAGCCTAAGGAGTCACCCACAAATTATGGCATTCTTTGCAGTCTTCCCTTCCTCCTCATTTGGAGGGTAGGATCATACTATTAAACTGGGCCTTCCTAGAGCTAAATCTACTGAAGAAGTTAAAGGTTTCCTTCTACTGCAATTCAATATTTTGGTCCTGGGTTTTTGGTATACTAGAAGGGAATATTGAATTTTAAAAACTGTTCTGTCATGTTTTTTTTCCTTGTATGTGAGGTACTAAGCGCTAAAAGTTTTGTTACATTTTCGGGCAAATAAATTGCATAACATTTGTTATTTATATAGGGTACTCCTGCCAGCAGAGGAGAGAGAAATTTTTGTTGATTGCTCCTGCAATGCACCCCCACATCATGCCCAGCACTGTTCCTGAACCCTAGGGGCAACATTCAAAGTGAACTGTAGCGTGGGTGGAGGAGGGAGAAAACTTCCATTCCATGAATGATTTTCTGCTCGGCTTTCTTTGGATACAGCCTGTAGTATTTTGTTACAATGGCTGAAATGAGCAAATATTTTATTCAGCCCCAAATCATATATATGAAAATATGTATTCCAGATAATGTCAGGATACCGTATGCATGTGTTAAATTAAC